AGAAAGCTCAGTGTTCATAATTCCAACCTGACGCTCTGAGTAAACTGTGAATTGATTAGTTTGAGCATTGCTTAAGAGAGAGCATGAGTTAAAGTGATTCAAACAAAAGACCTGGAGCAGCTATCAGAGGCAGCCGCACACGAGACCGGAACGAAATGAGAAAATAATGAATTTCAGTCACACCCTCCTCACTGCACTAAGCACATTGACAGATTGTTACTATTAAACAATATCCATCAATCCATTCTCTGTACCCTCTAACAGCGACACTCAACTGGCTTTGCCGACGGCCAGTTTTACAAAATGAGACGAGGTCAAATGAATGAACATTGAAGGGCCGGTAATTCATCTTACTTTGAAATAATTTTCAAATGAATTCAGTAACAGCAACGGGGCATTATTAAATATTTAGTATATGAACAAATAAAAGCTTATTCACATTGTCAATTAGAAATGGGTCTGTGGGCCAGCTGGCACTGCATCTATCCATTCACCTGGCTCACATTTGTGGACCTCAGCAGAATGCTTCACCTGAAGACACCCACACAGACTCTTGGACTGGGTGGCACAATCCCAAAAAATGGAAACTCCAACTAGAAACACTAGCTAGTTCCAAACTAGCAGTTTTCTAAATCAAATAAAAGCTCAAGTAATGTCTAAATCTGTCAATTAATCAAAAGCCATCAACTGTACGTAGGAAGTCACTGTAGCAGCACAAGGTGTAAGATGAGTTTCAATGAGACAAACAGTGGACATCACTACTATTGAGTCAAGCAATGGCAATTTTTTTTGTAAAATCTGTAAAATGCAGCACATTAAATTTGTAGGTTCGTGAGCAGCAGGCAGTGTTCATGTTATTCCCCTGTGAAATTTTTGATGGCACCATATCGTAGAAGAATTTATAGTCAGAGTATGGGAAATAGGAAATATACTGTGTTGCACCATACGAGCTGTGTCAGAAAAGTTCCAGGACTGGTGTCACCAAAGATATATTTCAAATCCAAACTACAAACTACAAGTTTTTCCCTTCCAAGTCATCCCCCTGGAGTCTAACACAGTTTCCCAGCCTTCTCTGCCAAACCGCCACGCACTTCTGAAAGGATTCTTTTGCAATCCTATGCAGCTCCATCGTCACAGCCATCTTGATGTTGTCCACGTCTTCAAAACACGTCCCCTTGATGACCCCCTTGAGCTTGTGGAAGAGGGAAAAATCCCACGGATTCAGGTGGGGTGAGTAGGGAGGTTGCTCCAGCACAGGGATGTTCTTCTCAGCCAGGAACTGTTGGATGTTCAGGGCATTGTGAGCAGGCGTGTTGTCATGGTGAAGCAGCCACAACTTGTCCTACTACAACTCTGCCTCTTCTCACGCACTGAACACCGCAAACGCCGCAGGATCTCTTTGTAGACGTGCTGGTTGATTGTCTGAAGGGGAGAACTTGTAGTTTGTAGTTTGGGTTTGAAATATATCTTTTGTGACACCAGTCCTGGAACTTTTCTGACACACCTCGTATAGTCATGAATGTTCTTGCATTGTTAGACCACTCTGCAGGACATGACTGCACCTCAACATCTTTCTGCGGTGGGGGAAAAACATTCTGCCTTATTGGTATTTCTTTAAATCAATCCCAATCGTACTGGGCGGAGCTAAGTCAAATCTGCTGCAGCATTGTCCCTTCATAATACTGGTGGGTGAATTGTTATGGTGGAACATTGGCATGCAGGGAGGCACTGTGATTAAAATGGGGGGGGGACAAAAAAACAGCAGGACTGGTTTATGTTGTAATCCAAATCCTCAGTAAAAAAAAAAGTTCAGTGTGGTGACTTGATTCTTGGAAGTTGTTGATGTTGTTTCCTATAGTGGTTAAGTGGATTTTGAAAACAGTAACACAAAAGTAGTGGAAGGAGAGGAGAAAGCTGTGTGAAATGCATGGCAGACATGGCAGGTTTGTACCCACAGTCTACATCCGAGTCAGAGTAGGTCGAACCAGGCCGGCACTGGTCTGAATGAACAGGCAGAGAGCAATGACTGCAATTTCAACGATCATTGGTATAAAAAAATGGCATGTAGAGAACTCACTCATTAATCAAATCTGATAAAAACTGCCTAAAACATTGAGGTCTTTGCCCCAAACATAAGGTTTAAAAAGCATTTTTCTCCACAGGTTATACTTCTACAATGCATGCGTCCAGTTTCACGCTGTTTTTCAACTGCGTTTGAGACAATGCAAACAGAGCATTGGCTGCGACAAAGCAGACGATTGGCTTAAACATGTAAAAGATAGATGCAGTGATCGTGAAACTGGACATAATGAGTGAGTGGTGGATCTGACAAGAAAACCCGATGACACCATGCAGTGTGATACGGTAGCCACTTGTCATTTCAGGTATTTCAGGAAAACAGGTGAATTTTAACCCTGGTGCCTTACAGAGCAGCTTTTTTTTTTGATACACTTAACCTCCTATTTGTAAATGTTTGTAGGTTAAGAATCTTCCAAATTATCTACATCCTACTGTTTTTTCTTCTTTTTTCCTGACGTGCCCTCTGTCCGTTACTGCTCTGTCGTGTCTTGTGCCTCCCTCCAGTGGCCCAGTGCTGATTTGAAGGAGACTTTGAACTAGTGGTTAAGACCATAAACCTATGAGGAAAATGTTTACTGAGGTAACAGATTAAAGGAGAAGTAGGATCATTTTCTTATAGACTTTGATACAATCAGACTGGTTTTTGCACCCAGTGGAGTTGCCCTCTGCTGGCTGTGAGACAGAATGCAGATTTAAGAATCTTGCATGTTGGTTTAGCTTTTCAGACCTGGAGGCTACATCCATTTTTAATACACAGTCTGGGGTTTGTGACCAAGATGATGTGAGCATTTTGCTTAAACTAGGTTTAGTCTTGTGATCTTGAAATCTCCACATCTTTAACACTTACAAAGTCTGAGGAAAGAATTATGAGTGAAGCCCATTTTACTGAAGGATACGATCATCTTGATCTCCTCAGTAAAGCTATATTTTTTTTTCCTTATTGCTTTTGAGGTTCAATCTGTGCTAGTCATTTCCACACTACGTTTATCACCAACCATGTATTGCCACTTCTTAAAAGCCCAATTTCCTCACCACAATATCACAACATCTGTGGGAAAGAAATATAAAATTGCATTTTGAAAAGGTCCTGATGAGCCTGAATGCAGCTCTGGCAGGTATAAGGTTGTGTTTTTTTCTAAATTACCGCAAAACAATCAGCATCTGCGCCATTAAACTGGAGTCAACACTCAGCTGTACTGATGATCTGCGCATCATGCAGTGCAAGTGCACCACAGGAACGATCGCAGCAATGATGGGGATGATAAAAAAAAAAAAAAAAGTCTTATCAGCTGCAGCACAGTGCTTCCATCCCTCCAGTCTGATCTCACAGATTTATTTCTTTATGACAGAAATTATTTCCTGTGTACAGCTGAATGGGAACTCTTAAGCTCACACAGAAAGTTGTGAATGAAAAGTTGGAGAAAAAATGATAACTGATGCCTAAACAGCAAGGAGAAATGGTTTCAAGAGATGGGTCCCAGGAGGCAAATCTGTTTCACCTCTGCCACAATCTGAAATACCTTTTTCTCCCCAGATGCTGAGGTACAATGCCTTCAGAGTGAATTTATTGCTTCACTGCAAGGATTTTAATAACATCTTTGTGTTGTGCAGACAGGGGTCAGGGAGATGTAACCAGGTTTCAGCATCTTCTGAATGGCAAAATTCTTTGAATACTAATCTAGCAATGAGTGGAGTAAATGTGAGTGATGTGCCTGGCCTGTTGCCCTTAATCTTCTTTTCTCTTCTCTGATCTTCTTGCACTACAGCTTTTACCAAAAGGTCAAATTCATGGATTTCCATCTGAAATAGAGAATTATGGGCAGTTTTGTTCTGAAGTGCAACAGTTGCAAACGTGATCAGCTTCAGGCAGGCTGGATAAAGCGAAGTGTGGTTACATCTAACAAACACATACAGCACACACACATGCACAGAAATGCATTTACACATACACACAGAACAAATTTGTACACACAATCACACATACAGACATGCATGCACACGCAGAAAAAAGACTATGCAACAAAATGCACACTCATAATCAGTTACACACACACACAAACATATACAAACATTGCAGCGCTGTTTATGCATTAATTTCCTTTTACGACGTTATGAGGAGCCGCCCCACCGATGAAAAAGATTCCTACACACAAGAATGTTCCCTGACAGGAAAAAAAAGCCCTCACATAAAAATATAAATCTTTCTATCTAAAAATGTTTTCAGAAACAGCACTACAAAATGTAACTAAAAAATGTGACATTCTGGCATAAGCATATAAACCCATGAACAGTTATGTGCTGCTTTTAGCAACAGTTTTATTTCAGTGTATCTTCCAAGGACTTGATCTAGAAGGCAATGAACCATTAACCACAACAGTGTTAATGGCTTGTTCCACCCACTCAGATAAACAGCACTTCTTTCAGCATATGGAAGTAAAAAGATGAAGAAAAAGTGAGTTGGGCATTTCTGCAAGTGTGTGCACTTTTACAGTCACTAGTAAATGATGATAAAAGTTTACAATTACATATTGGAACCACTTTTCCCTTCACAGAGCGCTCAGACTCAGTCATCCTTAAGTAAGATCACAGCATGTTTTCCATCTTCTACACCAAAATCCTCTCAGGTGGATTCTTGTAAATGTTTAGAGTCGTCATTTTCTCAGGTTTTCGATGTTTTCTTTAAACAAAACTAATACTTTTCATAATATTCCTGTATCTGTTCATGTTTTAGTGAAAAAGTAAGCTCAGTCAGGTGTGGTTTTATAGAGCTCTTGTGAGATATTCAAATATTAATTGTATGTGGTGGATAAAAAAAAAAAAAGACAATTCTCCGTTTTTAGGATGCTTTTCAACACATGATGACTTGCCAGGCATTTGTCAACACTGGCATACTTTGACAACAGACAGGCAGTGAAACTCACCTGTCCAGAGCGATCGCAGTCATGGAGTAGATGCTGGCAAACACAGCCGCGATCGGGAAGAAGTTGTGGAAGCGGCAGTAGACCAGCCCGAAGTACCACTCGTTGTGCACTGCGTAGGTGAAGTTGATGACCGTGTTGAAGGCGGACATGGAGGCTTCGGCAAACGCCAGGTTGAGTAGAAAATAATTGGTGACTGTCCTCATGCGTTTATGAGCCATAATAATCCAGATGACTGTGACATTGCCTACAACGGACACGATAACTATACAACTGTACGCAATGGCCCAGAGGACGATTCGCCAAACTGGCTGCACAAACTGGTTCCAGTACATGGTCCCGTTATTGGTGTCGTTGGAGCGGGTGGTCCAATTTGGCACATCGGTGGTATTGAATAAAGGATCCATTTTTCCGTGTACGACCGAAAGTGTCTTTAAACCAGTGGATGATACCTAATTAACTACACAACGAAGTTAAGGATTCCGGTGCCAAATGCAAAGTGAACAATGGAAAGTTTCAGAAAGCTTCGCCGCCTCACGCTCTTTTGGAAATGAAGTGCTCTTGTAGTGTCCACTTCATACTTTGCTTTCGTGGAAATGCTAGATTTAAAATTAAGTAAAAGTATTGAAAGTGGAAATAATAATCTATCTATGTTTTCCACTTTGCGCTGTGCGTAAAAACGGAGACGCGCCTTTTACGCGCATTGCAGCACCGCCACAAGTCAGAGCTCCTCTGAACTGCTCTCACACATGACAAAGCTGTGTTCCGTCCTCTCTCTCTCTCTCTCTCTCTCTCTCTCTCTCTCTCTCTCTCTCAGCGTCTCTGTGCTCTCCTCCAGCTCCTCTGCTCAAACTGAGCGCCTGCACACCAGCTTATGGAGCGAGCTGCTGCTCAGCCGTCCAATAGGCAGCCTCTAAAATTATGATTATGGATGAGCCCAGGTAAGTGATTCATTCCATCCCATTCAGACCGCACGGGGAAGCCAATGGGATTACCATGCCTAAATACCTCTTACGTGATTTAATTTGCTCATAATTCCTTTATAGGCAATAGCAAATAGAGAAAAGCAGAAGCACGGATGAACGAATACAGACAGACGCATGGATGATAATAATAATGATAATTTAAATAATTATAGCAAAAAAAAATCTAACAATGATTTTTTTTTTTAGATTATTTTTATTCGAAAAATAATTAATCTCACAATACACTTTAAGAAATGTCATTTTGAAATGTAACGTGATGAGGTGTCACACTGAATGTGATTGTCTTTCCATTCACTGCCCCCTCTTGTGGCCTCTTAGACTGGACCATGTGTCAGATGATCGTTTACCTTGTAGAATGTCAACATGTCAATGAGAGAAAGAGCTCAGCTGCAGTCATAACATGCTTCAGAAGGCTGCCTCACATTTCACAATAAACAGTGTCATATTAAAACACTCTCTAGTACCCAGTAATGTACATTTTCCATAAGACTACACAACTTAGACCACAAGCATAATGTAAAGGCATCCATAATTAAATAATAAAATGATCGTTCTTATGCAGTATTGCTAGGATTTTTTCGTTTTTGGATAATGTGTCCCCACAGTGTTTAATTACCAGTAGCCCAATACTTGTCCTATCTTTGCATCTGCACAGGAAGCACCAATGGACCACTGCAGCAGAGAGCAGACTTGTCTGGCAGATTTTCCTCAGGCGACTGCACTCTTTATATATTTAACCGGTCATGTTCAGGTCTGCCCAGAGGAGCAATATGAGAGGATGAATGAACTCATTAAGAGAGCTACATCAGGGCTTGCCATTAAACTCTGGATGGCACTGTCAGACTAGAGAGTGTAAATGTGAATGAACATAGATGTAAGTTTAATTGTTGTGGATGTGATTAATCAAGTTTTAACCTTCAGTGACTTATACTTTAAGCAGTTAATGCTTTAAGTGTAACAGCTTGATGTGTGATCAGATGTAATGGATTCTAGCAGCATGGCTCTGTGGCATTTCCATTCTGTTGGTGTGTTGTGTGTGAGGTGGTAAACCACTTTGATTGAAACTGAAATACCTTTAACTGTTGGATGGATTAAAATAACATTTTGTACTGACATTTATGGTCCACAGAGGATTAATTCTGCTGACTTTGGTGACAACTCTGCGAGCACCAGCACAGGTTTGTTAGACTCTTATCTGTGGGGCATTAATATGTCTTGATTGCTTGCTTGCTGAATAGATTGCCATTACATGTGGGCATGACCTTTTCAAAATCACATGGCAGTCACAAAATTCTGCAAAACCAAAGACATTCCCATGTGCATCAGTTGTGCTTTGTATTCAATACTGTTTTGTTAACTTGTTACTTAAATTTTGAACAGAGTACGCATTATACCTTCTGAACATCAGCATGTAAGTACTGAGTATTGTGAGACACCAGCATGCTAATGCATTTAGCTCAAAGCACCACTGTGCCTAAGTACAGCTTCACAGAGCTGTCACCATGGCTTAGTCCTATTGAAACATGCTGTCAGCTGCATAAACATATTAGCTTTGAGAGATGGTGGTTGAAACTGAATTGAATTCATCTTTGTTTGCAGCCTTCTACATACAGCTGGTTCTGAATTCTCTGTAGTCTGAACTTTACATTTATCAATAATTAACGCAAAGTACAGGTTGTTGTATATGTGCGTTGTTGTTTTTCAGTTACCTGTGCTGCGTCAGTCATGAGCTAGTCTGACACACCAGATGCAGACTTTATAGGTATAGGTCTGTCATTTTTGCAGAGCATTCTACTCACCTTGCACCTCTCCTTCCACTATCTGTATGTGACTGTTTTTGAAATCCCTTTTGTGACATGCCCTCTGACTCTGCCAAGTGCAGCCTCTCTCTCCCTTCTTCCCTCTCCTCCTCCCTCCTTTCCTTTTCCCTAGGTGGGCATGTGCTGGCTGGTATGTGTTGGTGGACCGGTGCGGTGACTGCTGATTACCAGAATGCTTTCACCTGCAGCAGGGCGTGGTCTTCACTCACCAGTTCACTCGTGTCTCCCATAAAAGCTGACACTGGGCTTTAAACCAAACTGTTAGTTTTGGCTCAATTCTGGCTCAGTTCTGTTGTTATTCTCTGTGCCTCTGAATTCCTGCTAACCTTCTTCTTTCTGCTCCAGCCTGCCTCAATCCACTCCATTGTCTATAATTCCTGGTCAACCATCCACTCACTCCCTCCAGTTCTGCTGGCTCATCTCTGAAAAAGTCTCTTAGTTCTCCTCCACGTCACCGTATTCCACCACCAGCCATGCCGCTCACCATTCCCTCCCCTTCTCCTACCTTCAATGTCAATCACCCCTAAGTCCATCCATCCATCCATTATCTATACACTGCTTAATCCTCACAAGGGTCTCTGGGGGCTGGAGCCTATCCCAGCCGACTTAGGGCAAAGGCAGGGGACACCCTGGACAGGTCACCAGTCTATCACAGGGCTACACTTAGAGACAGACAACCAAGCACACTCACATTCACACCTACAGACAATTTAGAATCACCAATTAACCTCAACATGTTTTTGGACTGTGTGGGAGGAAGCTGGAGAACCCGGAGAGAACCCACGCTGCACGGGGAGAACATGCAAACTCCACTCAGAGAGATCCTGATGTCCTCACCGGGACGCAAACTGGCGAACTTCTTGCTGCGAGGCAACAGTGCTAACCACCTAGCCACTTTGCAGCCCTATTTTGTATTATAACATTTGTAAATAGATTTGTTTCATAGTGTTTGTAAATATTTTGTATGAGAGCATTGTAGATCGTATTCTGTATCATAGTATTGTATTTAGTTTTGTCGTGTGCCTTCATGTAGCTTGTGTAATTTCTACCCCAGTGTTCTGTTTTTGCTTTCTTGCCTTGGTTGTACCAAGTTCAGGTCAGTGTAGTTTTTGCTCTGTGTTTATTTCTTCTATTACTTAGCTCAGCATTAGATGTACTCAGTCTGCCTAGGTGTCAGCCATCAGTTTGCCTGTAACCCTCAACCCAGTTTATACTTCCTGTGTATATTTTTGCAAATACTGTAAATCTTATCTTGCTGAAATTGAAGTTTGCCCTGTCCGTGCTTGTGTCTCTGAGTTAGTTCCGTGACATTTTGCTGTGAGAAATAACCACAACAACCTTCAAAAAGTAACCTATTCCAAGGTTGGAAGTTTTGATGAAGATTTGGACAAACACAGGCCTGCTTGGTTTTTCTTTGAAGTAGCTAGTTTGATGAGAGCACTCGTCTCCCTGCATGCAAATGTTCCACCAAAATGATTTCCCCATCACTGTTTACTAAGGACATCATCACTACATCCTGGACTTAGCACCGCTTAGGATTCTTGTGATTTATTTAGTCAATACAAACACACCACAGTATTTGTCCCCCTATGGCAGAAAGATAACGAGGTGCAGTCAGACCAATCTCTTTTGCTGACATAGTGCTGAGGAGATTGGTCTAGCTATGTGAGACTAGCCCTCAGCTGTTTATTATGGGTTGTGTGTTACCTAAAAGCAGAACACAAGTCACAGTCGGCAACAGTTGAAAACAGTTTATTGTGAGCAATGAGAGGACCCTGGAGAATCCCAGAGGAGCTGTGGCAGGTGAGTGACTGGCTGGCTGCAGTGTTGGAAGAGTTAGTGTGGAGAAGCTGACTCGCATAGGAAAGGACTGACTTACTGCTTTAGACAGGAGGAGCCAAGTGTGGCCTGTTATGAGGCAGGTGCCTGGAAATTGGTTGAGGAAGCTGGCTTTCAAGCAGGAGACCTGAGGAGAGGATTGGGAGGCTGAGGAACGAGGAAGTACGAGGATGGACTGGTTTCAAAAAACACTTGGGAACATAAAGCAAAGAGAACGGCACAGATGATACAAGCACATAGACAACCAGTGTTTAAATACTGAAGTGGTTTGATTGATGGATGAGTCTCCGGAAAGTCAGAAAATTGCCATCGGGAGGTCATCACGCATACTGACAAGGAGAGAAAGAAAACAAACAGGGAGGCCACATGAAATACAAGGTAAAGAAGAAAAACAAGGGAAACAACACGAGGCAGAAAGGTGCAGCCACGACCAGGACAACGGATGTCAATTACTCACACAGGAAGATATTGGACAGAGTTGAACATCCACAAGATTGTCATCAGAGGTGTTTTGGAAATGAAAAAACTGAATTCTATTACCGGCCTGTACCTTCCAGACTGTTTCCATCATTTAAAGCACATATTTCCACTCAAGTCTTAAGCTCACAGGAAAGCTCCTGATTACCAGAATAATACTGCATTCTTATGAATATATGAATATAGTTACTGTATTAGCAGGCTTCACAGTTAAAGCCACAACAACTGAAAAGATACCATAAAGCCGAAGAAGGTCACTGTAAATTTAGTTCGAAACATTGCAGCCACACAATCCCACTCACAGACTCACACACACTGTTGGAGTAATACTGGAAAAAGAACAGAGGTTTTCTTTTTGTCATGCACCGAGGCCATAATTTACACAGAAAATCATGCAGTATGCATCTTTGAGACTCAAGTATTTTCTGCCTCTCTCTTCACAGCTTTTATCCATTGCACCGCGGGCTGTTGCTTTCAAGCAGGCTTCTTATGTATTAATACCAAATACGCAACACCTCATGTACCTTTTGTGTGTTGCTATCTTGACTAAAACTCAATTGGTAAAAAAGAACAACAATCTTACATGTGCATACTGTGATTAAATGGAGGATAAAACTGTCTT